ATCATCAAACACCTGTCTTTCCCAATAAATATATTTATGGGTAATGATATGATAATTTATTACCGAATGGACTTTGTTCTTTTTTGCTGAAACATTACGGTTAGAAAATTAAGAGCTTCCGGCTATATTAAACGATAAAGACTATAATGGCCGATAATACTATATACCCATATGAATTTATTTCGAGATTATTATTGTTATTGTTATTATTATTGTTGTTGTTGTTATTATTATTATTATTATTATTATTATTATTATTAATATTATTATTATTATTATTATGCGGGCGTATGTTAAATTGTAGAGATAGAAATGCAAAACTCGGACATACTCGGAAAATGCAAAAAAGTTCATTCGAAGGTTAAAATTTACGATAATCATAATGCTTACGAGCTTAATGTTTACGAGGATGAGTCCGAGTGACTAATAATCCCGAGACATTATACATTTCAGTCAATGTAAACTGGGCTTCTTTGAATTATCCATGCATTTAAAACAAATAATAACAATATAAGCAATCGCACAACATTATCGAGATTTAAAGTATTTATTAAACGAAGCTATTAAATTTAATATAATTTTTACCGTAGAATGCGGACAGTTGAATTGGACAAGTTAAGAATTATCGATATAATTTATGTAAATATTACAGATGTAATACTTAATTTGTTTAACATCCGTATAGATTATAATAATTTTCCATTTCAAATAATATTCTAGTGTTTTGTTTTTGTATTAAGATGGAAGGATTCGTATTAACATTTGTATTAACATGCTGTAATAAATTCTAAGTATTTAGAAGGACAAACAAGCAAAAAAACAAAAAACAAAAAAAAAATAGCGAAATAATAGTTCTATCAGGATTTAGTCTAATAAAAGTATTCAATTACAAAAAAATGTTCTTGCAATCATGCATCTTTTTATAGATTCTTTAATAGACTGGATATAAATTAAATCAACCATATTGATTATTATTCACATCGTCTTATGATTTACGTCATAATTAATTTTTGATAAATATATATTCCAGGCCTCGCTGCTGCATTTATAATGCACGAAGTTTCAATGGCTTTTATGTTAATTCGATGTTTTTTTTTTTTTTTTTTTTTTTTTTTTTTTTTTTTTTTTTTTTTTTTTTTAAATAATTTACTCGATAAATAAAGTATCGAGTACGTCATCATTCAATGTTTCGAGTTAAAAATAGCTTGCAGCAGAATAACTATATATTTTATGCCATAAAGTAGGTACGTACGCTCGATGATTATGAGCAGCTACGTTAAAAAAATTAAAATCCTCATTATCTTTGTTTTTAGGGCAGACGGTAATGGTTGTTGCAAATTTCATTACAATATTATATACAGTTAATTGTCGACTTTTAAATAATTAAGAAAAATTGAAGCTGATCGTCGTGCATTGTCCCCCGTATCCATGCCCTCGAAATGTAAATTATATATAAATAGTTTCGATGTATACATTGTGTATGTTTTTCTTTTTCCTTTTTTTTTTTTACATCGACAAAAGTATGTTGGAACAAGTATTAAAAAGTATTGGAAAGTAAATTTCACATTCTTGAACTATATATATTATCGATAATGTTGATAGACCCAGAAAGTAAGTAATATCATATTTTGTATTATTTTTCAAATCGTAGAAAATCATTTGTCGTGCATAAATTATATATATATATATATATATATATATATATATATATATAATTAAATGTACAAGAAGGATTTATAAAATATTGAAAATGAAAGAAGATAAATTGCTTTATATGAAGATAACATGGTATTATAACGATAAGAGAACGCGATGAAATTTTAACTTGACTATCCATTGAATTTCCACTGATTTATCCACCAAACTAGTTTACAAAAATAGCGTAGATTATGCTTTCTTATTAATTTCACACAATAAATCGCACACATATACTATATTTATATTATTATTTACAAATATAATTCTACAAATTGAAAAAAAAAATAGATTTGAGTTCAGATAATAATTGTCAGTTATCAAAAAACTACATAGAATTACATAAAAGCAAATCATCAAAAGAAATCCTTGAAAATTTAATCCGAAATTTAGATTCCTAAAAATAAATAAATTATCGCAAAATCCATGCGAGTGCTATTAATTAAGATTACTTGTTAAATTTATTTAATCAAACATGCAAAATGTACAAATGTATAAAGAATTTTTAACGTTATATATAAAAAGAAACAAAAACACAAAAAAAATCCTTTTTTAGATGCGTATTAATGTTGAAAAAGCTTATTGTCATGGCTGATAATTTAATTGTTATTGTTGACTGTTTAGATCGAAACTTTATATTTTCAATATTAATATTAATTATCAAAATTACTCATCCAAACTTTTTTTTTCAACAATTAAAAAATTTCCTTATAAATTATGAATATCGAATAGTTTAACGACACGTTATTGTACACTTAAGCTGGAGTAATAAATTTTCCTACGCCATTAAATTATTTATTCATTACGTGAAAAAAAAAAATAAAAATAAAAAAACAATAAACAAAACAAATAAACAAAATGTATAATTTTACGTACAAACATTGGTGGGTGAAAAAGAAGAAAAAACTTTGAAAATAACAAATGTCGCCTCGGTGCAGCTATAAAACGTTAAACGGTAAATAATTATGTTAAGTAAATAATTATGCTCAAAGCCTTCGTCACATGGAGTCTTGAATAGAAAGTTCGATTTCTCCAGAGTCCTAACGAGGTGGCAATGTGACAATTGTATAAAAAATTAAAAGAAAAAAATAAATAAGAGAAAAATAATGAGTTCCGGTTATGCGCCGACTGGCTAATTAACAGCCCTTTTGTCTACTGCGCGTCGTCGTGTTAAAGTTGTTGCACTCGACTCTTGACCTCTTCCAACGGTTTTATTTAGCATCCGCTGCACGAGCTCGAGCGTAATGTCTCCCGCTATTATTATTTCTTTTTTACTTTTCTTGTCTTTTCTTTCTTTTTTTTGTTTTGTTTTGTTTTATTGTTTTTTATTTTGTATTGTTTCATCGAATCGCGTGGTCGAATTTCTTTATAAAATAGCGTCCAACAGTTTTATTGCTTCAAGTTAAGCTGCGTTGATGGTAATAATTATATTAGCCGGCTGAATAATAAATATGGAAAATCGCTTCTCCTGTTAATGGTATCCTTCTCATGAGACGAGAATTTTATGTGCAGCCGGTGTGGAGAGGTCAACGAGCACATTTAGTTCCGGGATTATTGTTAGTCGGTGTGTATGTTAATTATGAGCGATTACGAATGGATAACGGGTTGTGTGACTACTATTATATGGATTAAATGCATATTTTCGGTTCATCGCCATTGAATTTATTATTCTATTATATATATATATATATATTAGAATTATCTATTATTTATTATCTCGTAGATGGAAAAAATTCTTTTAATAATCAGATGAATTATGCTTTATGCCATTGGATAGAATAGAGTATTTGAAAAAAACGAATGTAGTCGTCGTGTGGTTGAATAAGAAGGTAGAATAGATCGTAGTAATTAATTGTCTATATTCGTCATAAATTAACTCGTTTACACGTAAATTGTTTAAAAAAAAAAAAAAAAAATGGTTGCATGGTCAATGTTTCGCCAACTTTATCCCCATTATTGTATAATTAAGTAACATACGAATGCTGAAATCGACAAAGTCATTGTGTTGTATTGTATGGTAGCCGTTAACGGTAATGAAAAGAAAGCGCCTCTTAAACTTTGTAACTTAGCAATTCTACATCATTTCCCAATTGATTTGCGCATTACAAAATACAAGCATTTACTAATTAATAATATTAAGTTTTTGCAAATGTTTAACGATTGATTCGGATACTTGTCTTACAGGCACACGTATATCACCTAATGAAGAGCGACTCGTACTCAAGATACCTGCGATCCGAAATGTACAAAGACTTTCTCAACGGTACGAAAAAGAAGGTATATCCCCGATGTCGATTTTTCGCAAATGTCCGAGGAGTCGAATGAGTTTAATATCTGGATTTAATGTTATTCTAGACGTCTGTGAAAGGGATCCGATCGATAGTATCATTTACCGTTCGCAAAGACACGCAAGCTATTTAAGAAGCTAAAGGCACATAATTGAGAGAAACAATAGGTGCTGGCGTGTTTTTAATGTAAAATAAAGAGAATAAATGGGGTGGGTGGTGAGAAAAGTTAGTAGGAGACGGGAAATGGGAGGGAGGGTTGGTAGAGTACGATGGGACGGGGGATGGACGGGGACATGAAGAAAATGAGAAATAACGAGGAGAAAGAAATGAACAATTGGTTTATTGAATGTTTAACATGGAACAACCGCTTTGAGCGTCAATTTTTATTTTCACTGACAGAGTGACGCTGTTTACACGCCTATTGGAATTTCGTATAAGCTGCCCAATCAATTATCGTGCAGTATTTGTAAAGATAAACGCAAAAGATAACAAGTTTGATGTCAATTTCTTAAACTTTGACACAAGAAGCACAAGCATACATTACCTTGCATGAATAATTAAGCGAATAATTAAGTCCATTAACGTTAATAATTACACGCATTTTTGTCCTTTCAATTAGAGGAATTGATGTTTTTGAAAACCGAGCGGGCTCGCTATTACAAGTAGAATACAGATATTCATAATAGTAATTGTATTTTACTTTAGCGTCATCCTCAATTCGACGATTCGTCTATTGGGAATATATTTGCGTAGCTTTAATCTTGTATAGCCAAATATAGGTTTGTTAATTACTGGTTAGCGCTGTCTACTGGTAGCGAAATTTCTTTACCTTTCTCACCTCTATTTACGAATGTGTATTACTTTAAAAATAAATTAGTCCTTGTTGAGTTTGTAACATGTATTTTATGAAAAGAAAATATACAATTAAACGAACTTATATTTTCCTTTTAATGTTGTACCTTTGGTTTCGACTATTCCTTAAACTTATTGAACGTTGTTCGATAGTGCGATTTGTGCTTTCTCTTGGACTATCTTTTCAGCACGGTAAACTTTCCAACAGATCAAATAGTCTCTCGTAAGCCTAAAGAGGGTATAGTAGTTCGTCACAATTAAAAGGCTCATCGATAATACTCTGTACCACTCTGTCGTGCGAATTAGTATCATAAATTGAACGGCGACGAGAGTTAATTCTAAACTTAATAAAGAGCATTGAAAAATGGTTGGGTTGCCAAAGAGTATCTGTGAAATTATATAATAATAATAATGGAATTATTAATTATTAAACAACTTGTACGCTCGTGGACTTATGTCTGTAAAAATGATAATTTTTATAAAGCACACGTACGTAAAATCGATAATGACTTGAATTTCCTGGCTCAGCGGCAGTGCAAAGTCCTTCGGAGCGGTAAATCTCTTTGTTATGCTTTACTAATGATCCGTGAGGCCATAAGACTGCGTCGTTCCAAGATTGCGCAGGTAAGTGACTATTCTTACGTTCAACCTTCGACCATTTTCCAAGATGAAGCGCAGCTCTGTGCAAAACGTCGCAGTATCTGCAATAAGTAATGTATTTCGGTAAGGACGATATATGGAGTCTTATTGACATTGAGCGAGTATTGCAGCAATGTTTATAGATAACTTTATAACTGGAATAGCCTACTATTTATTAAAGCTATTTATTAAAGACACTAGAGTGATTGTTATAAGAGTGAGACACAGCGGTGGAGGGGGCTTCTTACCTAACAGGGTACGTTTGTGTGAAATGTGCACCCAATCTACCGAGCCATATGAGAATAATGTGCTGTACAACCCAGGATACATCAAAGTGTAGATGCTGAGGAACAAATATGACAGGTGCAATACCACATAAGTATGCACTGCCGGACGATGCGAATAAAGCTCTTTTTAATCTTTGATTGAAGTCCGATTTTAAACTGGCCACTTCGGCTCTAATAGCTGGTGCGTTCAACGAACAATTATGCAACGGTTTCTCTGAAAAATATATTACATGTATAAGAGAGATCGCATGATTTTTTTAATTTTGTTTTTTCCTCTCTCTCTCTCTCTCTCTCTCTCTCTCTCTGCATTAAGTTCATAAAATGAATGCGTTAGGCGGTTAATCACCTAATATAAATTTTGTTTTTCTATCCTCTTTGACGTAAAGGGGCGCAGCAGATATGTCAAAAAAAGGTCCTATACTTGCACCAAACATTAAGAAGTAGATGGATATACTACTGCATAAAAATATATCGTTAATTCGAGACTCTACAAACTCCACGACCCCGACAATTCAGAGTCTGTGAATTTTGTCTACTTACGGGTAACAAAGATAAAACACTTTGATAGAATTATGTCTTTCGCTCATGTAATATAAACACCAGAAAAGTATGCCTATAATGATAGTTAAAAGTAGCGCCCTCATTATTCTTTGGGCAATTGGTAGCCACCGCGGTGGAGTAACAACGTCCATGGATTTACAAAGCAATGCATAAATAAATTGTCTCGCGACCATTGTCACAATAAATATAATAAGATAAGGATCCATCAGGTAGAAATTCTACAAAGAAATAGATTCCAATCGTTAGCTGAAAATTGCTTATATTGGCTTTCAATTAAAATCGGCACCTACCATAGTGTATTCGTTATACGACTGAGGTAACCACCAAACAGTTTTGTACAAGTTAAGTAATTGTAACGAGGCAGCCACTATCGACGTCGCTAAGGATCGCGTTTCAAAAAGGACTTGCCCATCGGCTGGTATCGTTGGAATGGGAACGTGTTTTGGCGCAAGCGTACGTCCAATCGATATCTGCTCCCCAAAGTTCTTTTTCTCCTCGACATTACAAACTCCTGAACCAACGCAAGCATTCGCAGTAGATACAGAATTACTTGAATTATTAAGTTGTACCCGAGCACTTGCTGAACTTCGTCCCCCAGGGCATTTACGTCCCCCAGCCATTTCTATTTCTTTTCATTACATTTTCTAACATAAATCTAGAAAAATTTGCGAAAACGAAGTATTTAAAGTAGGCAATAACTACGTTATCATACAACCGATTATATACATTATTTAACAAAACAAATTCAATTCCTTGAAAATATTAACTTTATCCTTCTTCGTTTAGTCAGCTTTGAGCGATAAATCAATACGATGTCTCACACTGCTCAATCGTAAAATTTTTTCCTTTTCATATTACAATATTTCCTCAGCATTTACGACCACCGAGTTTAAAATAAACAAACTTATCATTTATCTATTTTAATAAATCAAACTTTCTAACCTATCGCCTTGTATGTATACAGTGTACAATCGCTTTGCGACAGTCGCAGTTCATGGATTAGCGCAACCACGATTATTGGAAGGCAATATTGCGCGTGCGCATTTCACAAAAGTTGCAGAATCGAGCAATACTGTAGCAAGGATTACCGCCCTCCTATTTACCTTTATTTACTTATTAATTGCTATTGGTGGTGCTATTTGATAATCTAAGGTATATTTCATGGAATCCTTACTCTTTCATGTAAATTGAGATCGGTCGGGTGATTAAGAGGAGCGAGCGACTGTTACCGGCACACGTACATTATTATTACATTCGTATTCTTATTTTCTTATTCGTTAATGTTACACTTGATATCGTTTGTAAATAGCGCGAATGCTCTCTTCTCGGCCAGGATAGCGCGCGCTCGACTCGCTACTGCAATTGCGCACAATTTCTGCTGCAGTATTTTCCTCTTCATACCCGCGCTCGCTCTTATTGCTCAAAATTCTCTCGGCTCTTATCTCTTTTCATCTCGCCTTGGCACATCTGGCTCAATATTGCCAAAACGTACAAGGCCAATAATGTCGTAAAGAAGAAGCATACTTATGAGTCGTTTGGTGATTTTGTGAGAAAAAGCCTCGGAGCGTTGAGAATCGCAAAGCGCTGTTTGCTCATCGAGCAGGCCCCTTCCCCCTTTTCCAATGTGGATTACTTCACCCGGGACTGGCTTCACTCCTTCCTCACGATAAAGGCTCTCTATTTGGGAAGAAGCTCCGGCATCGGATATTATTCGCAATTATCCCTCGCGTCATCAAAATTACATGCTAAATTGTCTCAGCAGATCAGTCAACAAATTTACGAGCGGGCCATCTTTTGGATTAGTTGACGCTCCCTGGACGCGTAGGCTGAATTAATCCATCCCACGTGCGCCGTAGTAACAACTAATTTATCATTAATATATGTATCTGGGCCATTGCCATTCTCTAGATAAATAAAGTCTTTGGGAAGAAGCCGAGGCAGCTTGCTCTTGGCAGCGATCGAGCCAAATCGGAGACTGTTGTCCTCGACTTGATTCGAAATCGCTTAAACATGTTGGCAAAAAATTTGGCTTTAATACTGTCACTTTTACATAATAATTAACGGGGCAGCAAAACTCGTTGCTTTCTTTGCCGATGGTTTGGGGTATGAGAGGAAGCTCGGTCGCACACACACGCGCGTGTACATTTGGATTTTTCTTCGTTAAGTCCGACTGGCACTTGGTACAAAAGCGCATCGGCATCACAGTCTCACGTGGAATAATATCATGGAATATAACGTCATGAAATATGAGCTTCCGGAGTGCTGGAGTTACATCTAGGATGATCGTAACCGAGGGTAGGGGTATCCCAGCTAAACCGGTGGAAAACCAATTTGAAAGCGATTGCTCCTTAGCTCGGGATTTTGAAAAGGAGTCGGTCACTCCTACTACGAACACTGCAACTCTCGTTAGTTCGTAATTCGAAAGTAACCTGCTAGTTTTCGTCATAACTGGAAAACCATTTCTTTGGCCGTGAGCACTAGTGCACGACTGTAGAATAAATCATTGCTTTTTCGTTAAAAATTTACATTGCTATTTCGCATTATTATATTTCATTTATAAGTTGACTAACAAATAAGTTCAAATTATTAATATGGAATTGATTTTATATATAACTTGATTGAAAAATACTAAAGGATATTAGCATACGAGGAAAATTTTTATTATTTTTTTTTTTTTTTTTTTTTTTTTTAAGCGAAAGGAACATCTTTCTGTATTTGCCAATTATTTTAGTCAATTACACTTTTTCATCGTACTCGGTAAAGAATATTTTTCTCGAGTGTTAAAATCGATGAGTTAAAAAAATTCTCTGTAAAATTCTATAATATATATTGATTTTCGACAAATGGATATAAATTTTTGACACTTTTGGAAATGCAATTATTAGACGTATCGTCGATCTTAGCAATCTGCACGCGACTTGTGCTTAACAGCTCCTTATCAATGCCAATTAATTATAAATATAAGATAGTAAATAAGATGGTGTTTATACTTTATTATATACTTAATAATAATCGTATACTTAATAATCGTTTTCGTTGGATAAGTTATATTTCAGTTTGCAGTGATATAGTGCAAAGATTGTTTGCTAATTCGCGTATTTGTTAGTACAATAAATATCCCGCAAATATTACCCTAAAAAAAGCATTAAAATGTATGATGTAATTTAAACTTAAGTTGCGCTACTATTAAAGTATTCAATGAAGTTTAAAGCGTAGAATTCGAAGATATTAATAACATTGCATTATCTTTCATTTATTAATTTATTCAGAATTAATGTTAAATGAAATCTTCATTATAATATAAATTATTTGTTGTAAAAGTCAATATATTATGAGGCACTCGTCAAAGACTAAGATTAATTAATTTTCATGCATAAGAACTTGCGAGACTATGGACGGATGGATGTCTGTTAAATTTTCAAAATTCAATTTAGATTTTCAGTTTCCAATACTTTTACCCAACGTGAATATATAAAGATTTCATTTTCCCAACATTTTTGCACTAGAGTTTAAGTAAATGTGACATTTGTTTGTTGTTTGGTGGGAAGTTTTAGAAAAGTTCGTTAAAAAAAATAACGATGAGAAATTATATAGAGTCCACGTCATAGAGCATAAAAGCTTTGCGAGGATAAAAAATGTTTTCACTCTTATTATACTTTAATTTAATGCAAGACCTATCGAATCGATATAATATTTAAAGTAATAATATTTATAGTTATTTTTTTTTTTTTTTTTTTTTTTTTTTATAAACAATTTATACCATAGAAATTTTACAGAGCATACTTTATGATGAATTGCGCATTAACAAAAACTCTATTTTTCGATAATAATAATAATTCTTATAATAAATATTCTTTCAATAAAAATATATAAATAAAAGAATCATAATGATGTTGTTGATAATGGTAGCAATAACAATAATAACGCCAATAATATCAATAACAACGATTAAAATTATCTACAAAGAATTCACCTTTGTTTTTTAGTAGAACAGTCGAAGATAGTATTTTTATAAAATTCTTATAACGATTGTATATTACACAAAAGTAAATTAAAGAATAGAATTTTTATTCGGCCAACCACTTTTTTATGAGACTTTAAGAAAAATTTACGGCAGTCGTTCATTGAAATTGAATTGATTTTCAGAATTTGCTTTATAACAATAGTAATTTGTTATAATAGTCAATATATTATTTATGTGTTGAATAGATGAAAAATATTTATTTTAGGATAATTATGTAAAAACTATTATCTTACATTATGAAATAATATATATTTTTGACAAATATATTTTATTTAAGATTGATCATAAAATATTCATTTTTAATAATTTTTCAATAATACTCTGATTTATAGCTACCATCTCTTATCATTACTATTTTAACGAATATCTTACAAAATACATGTTTAATTATTTTGTTCGTAATATATAATTAAATTATTTCTGATACATTTTATTGTTCGAATGTCATTAAAAATATGAAACTTATTCGATTAAAACCAAAAAAAAAAAAAAAAACAATCGGTTTTCTTGCTTTGCTTTACTTTAATTAAGGATCATGAATAAATACTTATTTCCTTTTTTTAATTTTTCATTAGAAATTGAAATCTTTTTTTTTTTTTTTTTTTTTTTTACTGACTTTGAACGTTAATCCAAAAGTAATCGTTTATGATAAAAAATATAAAATCAATTTCATTGTATATAAAATTTAAGCATAATTGAGTTATGATGGCCTTATTTGCATATGAAATTAATCATTTTCAGTAATATTATATTTATTATTTAAATATTTTGTGAAAATTTTAAACACAGTCACGCTCAATCCCTTTTTGAATGATCATGATCCGAGATAGCAAAAATATACGTGAATTTAATATTTTCTTATTCTTTAATAATACTTTGCTTTCTTCTCAATGATATAATTATAATTTATAATTTCGTAAAAGCATTAATAATAAATAGAAAATTCATTTTACATGTCTATAAATAGTTTCCACAATTATATATTATTCTTTTCAATTTACGTCTTATGATGACGTATAATAAAATTTTTAGCATTCCATTCGTACTTATGCAGCTGTGAAAATCAAAGCTTATCAAAGCTTTGAAAAAACATTTTGCTCAAATTTTTATTAGTTACGTGTTCGTAATATATTTGACAATTACACACTTTAAGTAGAATCGGTCGCATGCAGTAAGACAAATGATACAGTTATAATATTTGGATGTGTTTTGTCTTTGGAAATGCACCTGAATTTAAATTACTAAAATGTATATACATATATATATATATATATATGTATTGCATTATACTACCTTAGTTTTGTTGTTATATTCGTTTTTTTCTTCTTCTTTTATCCTTTTTCTTCCATAAAAATCACAATTCAGTATTAGAATTGTTACGTAAATTACCCGGCATTGCTCTAATGTAATGCGAGTTAACTAGCAGTTTTTGTTTCTCTTGGGTATATCACCCACCTACCTTCTATATAATTTATAATACATTTAATTGCATTTTATTCGATTTTCTTTAGGGTAAAAATAATTTTTTTTTTTTTTTAATAATTAAATTTTTGGATAATTAAATTGCCATAGAAGATGATTAACTTATTTATTTAATAGCTCAGAATCATTCTGTGAAAATTAATTTTCTTATTTCGTTTAATAGAGTTATTAATATTAATTTTTTTTTTTTTTTAGTAATTAGTGAATTATATGCAGTATTAGAGGAAATAGTTGTTTATAGATTTACAAATGACACAGCAAATGGCCTCCTGGTCATACGTTTTGTTTATACATTTTTTATTAAAATAAATGCCCAGATTACGTAAAAAGATTAATTATTATCAAACAAGTTCTTGGTTCTTGGAGACTTACTAGTAGACTGATAAGTATCAAAATATATAATGCAATAAATATATTTATTGTACGTTGAATCTACTGGTTTAAATAATTCGGCCGTCAGTTAGTCGCAAAATCTATTCGAATATTCATTTCTTTATATTA